CATAGTCATTGATTCTGAAGAGACCTAATGATGATCAATTCTAGGTCTTTTGCTTGAATTAAAAACAAATATGAGCTCTTTTCTTGGGGTGACTAGGCTTTAGGAGGTTAGCTTCGTGCTACTGGTGGTTATTTCTGCCATTTTGTGAGTGAGCCAATCTACAAAGGAATCCAGCCTAGGTGAAGGCAAAGGCAAAACTAGAAAAAGACTGTCCAGGCGATGTCATTTTAAGTAGTGAAATTTTTAATATTAACACCAAAGTAAGTGCATGCAATGTTTTCCTTTTCTTTTCCCCCCAAAATTGTTTCTGTTTTGATCACTTTTATTTAAAGAGATTTTTATTGACTTGATTGGTATCCATAAACCTAAGCTGTCATTTCATCTCCCAACACATTCCCATGGCAGTGTTTCTGAGACAGAGATTGAGATGTGTTGAGACTGTAGGGTAAAGAAGAAATGATGAATGGGGAGGAAAAAGTCTTGGAAGGTACTTTCAATAACCTTGATGCAAGTGGCAGCTTGGTGACTGGTTTTCTAGAGGCGTGCTGATATGCAAAGAACTCTAAATCAGAGAAGGTCTTTGTGCCAACTCAGAGAATCATAAGCATTATCTGTTTTCAGACTATCCATTAAATGTATTTTATAAGGAGAACCTCCTCCATCTCAATTATAAAAATAAAATAAAAAAAGAAACCCAAATTTAAGAACTAAAAAAATTCCTGTAGCAATAGAAGACCAGGTTTGAAGCTCTTCACACAAGATTTTTTATGCAGCTCCAAAATAGGGATTGCACATCTTTGTAGGACAACTGATAGAATAAATTTTTAAAAATTGTCACAGAGACAACCCAGGGCAAAGTACAATTTTAAATGAATTCATTTCCATATTCCATAATTAACAAACATCTATTTTCATTCTAGCTTTAAAATACCTCATTCTATTTCCAGTAATCTGCCACATTGTCAAGAGGACATTTCTTCCCATGGTACTAATGAGTCATCTGTAATTTTAAGAACATGCAAAGGGAGAGATTTTCTGTAACAAGAGTAGGTGAAAAATTTGAATGTATAGCCAAATGGTATAACATAACATGAAAAGAAACTGTGGGGAAAAAAAGAAAAAAAAAGAAGAAAGCCAAACAAGAGAAAGATGTATTCACTAACAAAAAGGAGTCTTTTGTTAAAGTGATGAAGTAAATAACAAGAAAAAGAAAATTCAAATTGGAATCATGTTCTGAAGAACTACAAGCTTATCAGAATAAAGATGTTATGGATCATCCTGTGACTGTTCCTGATAGATCCTTTATTTTTCCATTAGTTCTTACCATGAACTCCTGAACCTCTAAAGCATGTGTGGAATCCCTAAAGCTTTCATGTGCCAAAAACATTCACTAGAAGGTTGCTACGATTCTTACAATCATTGATATTACTGATGATGGTTTAAGCTAACAGGTTTGGCAGAATATTTGAATATTACATAATTTACACATCTGAAACTCAGATAGAGGATAAAAACATGTAGACATTTGTCATTAGAAAATAAACCATTATCAGTGACATTCCTGTAAGTTCACTGACATTATCAAAGATCAAATGGGTTTTCACTGTATGGTATCATTTGCATTCAAATAAATTTTTTCCTTGCAGGTGTACAATTGTAATTTAGCATAAAATGTCCTGAGAAGAATATATTCTACAGCCATTTTTCATCATTCAGTCCTATTGGTTGAATGATTATCTCTCTTCCAAACTCATACTGAAATTTAATTGCCATTATTACAGTCAGATGTGAGATTTTCATGTGGTAATTAACCTATCAAGGCTCTACCTTCATTGGTGGGTCCCAAACCATTATTACAATCCAGTCCAGCAGCTTCTTATTGTCTTACTGCTTTGCAATGATGCAAAAAGAGGGTCTTGTCTAGGATATAACTCCTCCCTTTTGGACTCTCCATCCTCTAGAACTGCAGGCCAATGAATTTCTGTTCATTATAAATTTCCCAGTTTCAAATATTTTGTTAGAACCACACAAAGGAACTAACACAGCCAGCTTGCTTTATTTATCTATCTACAGTTAAGAAATTAGATGCTTGAATAATGATAAGAATGACACTTCACAGTGAGATTGTTCCAAGTGTATTACATTTCTCACAAACTGACTTGTTAAACTGAAATCCATTTGCACAACTACTTAAACACAATAAATGCATATTCTAAAAATATTTTTAAAGAAACAAATGACAAATCAGTTATGGCATTATAGTTTAACTTTTGGGAAGTCATTTGTCTAAATGATGTCCTCCTGTCCAACTCATTTAAAAAACAAACCCGCTAATATTACATATGAGAAATTACAACCCAAGAAGCATTTTATAGACCCTATAACTGCGGCAAGGGTAGGTAGTGTGTGTGTGTGTGTGTGTGTGTGTGTGTGTATGTGTGTGTGTTTGTGATGTTCATTTCATTGTTTAAACCAGATACTCAAGTATCTAGAAATATCAAAAGAAATATTATTACTTTAACTTTATCCAGGGAAAATTTGTTAGGAATTCATGAATTCTTCAATGCTGAAACAATCTAATTATGAAAGAATATTTAAGATTAGAAGAACAGTATATAACAACTAATATATACGTTCAAGACATAAAATTATTAAATAGGGAGATACCAAACATCTAGCCTAATCTTATTTCATGCCTTCATAGTTTTTAAGAATTTTAGTCCTATAGAAAGTTTCATTTGCACTGCTGTTAAATGATTTCACATGTGCAGATTTGCTTGCTGTCAGCTCAATGTGAAAGCAAAGGATGTGACTTACCTTGGGGAAAGCTTCCTGATAACAGTATTTCTCTTATCAGGATGCTCTACTTGCACATTGTATTTTGTCCCAAAATGTCAGAATGGTTTTCCTTCCTCACACAATGTGCATTTGAAGATAAGGATGGAGGATATTAGAAGCAAGTTTAGATGAGAGCCCAACAAAGTTCATCTGGCTGCCAAGTGATTCCATCAGAGTTGGTCTTGTAAAAAATACTCAAGAACTTCAAGTACTTTTAAAAAGTGGGGAAATTTTGTTTTCCATGTGACTTTCTGTCATTTGTTATATACAACGAATTATAATCCAAATCATGGACTATATAAGGAAGGAACTTCCTCTTAAGAGAATACTTTTTGTCAGCCTGAAAGCTATTTAAAATTAAAAGATGGATAGGATGGTCTGGTTCCTCAGAAGAATGACTGTCCTTGACATGCATTAGTTTGGTCTCTCTTGACACGTTTATTTATAGTCTTATAAATAAGGACTCAGCACAGAAGCTTGGATGCTAGATTTTATCCCTATCTGTTGGAGGGCTAGACTCTTAATGACTCCAATGATTTTTAGCAGGTGATTTTTCCATCAAATGGAGGCAAAGGGGCTAAGGGCAGAGAAAGGCCTGCTGGAGAGCAGACACTGAATACACTGGAAATGTCTAGAAATAAAGTAAATATAGTCTCTGGTATGAATACATTTTTATGTATAATACCTATATAACAAAATAATTTAAGCGAACTGAAATCTTTTAATAATTGATATATAAGCATTTTCACATTCCTTATAAAAACAAAACCTACATAGGTTACTTAGCTTGAGCTTTTACTTTTCAGATATCATATTAAAGCAATGTCCAGAGAACTGATTCAATGATAAAGGGCATTTTTTTCTTCATAATATATGAGAAATTTATGACAGTTATGTGACAGATGATCTCTTAACAAGTAAGATCTGATAATGAAATATTAAAAATCAAAGTAAACTTAATTAAAAAAAATAAGGAGAATAGAAATGATTCTTTATTCCTCTACTATGAATTGGCCAAATGAGTTTTTTAAAAAGCAAAGTGTGTTGCACTTAAACTATATATCTTGGAAAGTAAAATCAAAGAAGTGATCTGTGTGAGGTTTTCACATCTGAAATTATATAAATCAATGTGAAGTGATTCAAAATTTTTTTTTTACTTAATTTCACATAGTAAAATTGTTAGGATTTTGCATGAACTAGGTTTGTGCAGGATAGGATTGTACTTTTAGTCCCTGCATGAATGCAAGGACATACATTAGATTAGCAATAAGAATCCTTAACATTTTAGGGGAAATGTTAAGAGCCATGTCTATTAAAAACATTTGTTTACTAATATTCCAGCAAGAGCTCACATTTTATTGGATCTGGTGAGAAAGATAATAAGTTATTGTGAATTAACTGAAGTAATACATTTAAACCAACATTGATGCAATAATAGTGTTTGATTTTTATATTTCTCCGTGCTCCCACTTTGGAAATTATATTGATAATAAAAGCTCAAGTGCTTAACAGAAGAAATAGTCATCTTAAGCATGACACAGAAAATGCATGCATTCAAGTATCATTTATAGGTCTTGCAGAATAGTACTTTTTGTTGATTCTACCAGTGTCAATGTATTTCTATCAGAGGTTTGAATAATTTACAGATGGTAGTTTATATCATTAGATTCATATGGAAAAAAGTTTCTTCAGGAAGTGAAATGATATATTATTTATAGCACTATAAAGAAATTAGAAAGTTATAGTATCGAAGTTTTGTCCCATAAAAATTAGTACTAATAATGTTCAAGTCTGAATAATACATGATCGCTTCACAACATCGAGGTGCAAACATTTACATCAAACTGCATAGTAAATGTAATCTGTAGGGCCAAGCTTTTAATTTGTTAAGTTAGCTGCCTACAACTTGCATATATTTTTAGGTCTCTATCATGATACATTTGGGGCAGCTCCATCTGTTATAATAAAACCAACTCACTTCTCATGTATATTCATAGAACACCCACAAATGTATCACATTTCTTAAACAGAAGGATACTTAAGACTTTGTGCTAATTCAGCCCATGATTTGGTTCTAACAGTTCAATGTATGCAGTCGGCAAGTAGCAGCACTATAAGCCTGATTAAAACAAAACAAAACAAAACAAAAAACAACCACTCACTTTCTTATTGATATAGAATGGGTCCAGGTCCTCCAGGGGCTCTGACACCATCTCTGGAGGAATGTCGCCATAAATAAATGGAAGGTTCTTTCCAGCTTCCAAGTCACTATTTGGCTTTGGGCCATTTTCGTCATCATCTTTTTTATCTGGTTTGGGATTCTTAGCCTTTTCTTCTGCAATGCGTCTTTCAATAGCCGCAAGAGATTCTCTGGTGAAGAAGTTGAAGCTGTCAGGTCCTGGTGGTACAAGCACTGTTTGCTCCATCTTGTCATCCTGCACATTTTAATTACCGTCTACTCTTCATATGATGTTCCTGAAAAAGAATACAGATGCGTGTGTGAAAGAGAAAATTAAGAGATGGTAGGGTCTATAAATACTTGTCAGCAAAAATGAACTGGAGGATTTAACTTTTTATTATCTTTTCCAATTGAAATGGACATTCTAAATGCACGTTCCTGACTAATGTGTTTTCTACATTGAATTTTGTTAGACTTTCTGTGTGTGTTGACTCTTGGTCTTTACTGATGGAGGAGCAGTGCTATGTGTTTAAGAAGCACCTAGTCAAGGTACATTAGGCTAATTGCTACCCAGTCTCTTATGGGCTATTCTCTCTGAGACCCACTCAGATGATGTGACATGTGCTCATTAAGATGCAGGATAGCTCAATTAAGTCAACAAGAATTGAATGGAAATGAATGTCTCTGAGAGGACATGAAATCCAACCTTGACAATCTCACAATTGAGTTCTGCCCGCACTGGTCAAAAGAGTTTGCTGCAGCTAACCTTAAGGACCAAAAAGCCACACCTGTCTTAATTGGACCTTCAGCTGGTCTGTGTATGATTTGAGATGAATAGAATTATATGACGTTTACCTTATTATCCATGGTGGGGTTGGCCTATCATAACACATAGAGAAAGTAACAGTCCAAGTTTGGATAAATGACATTTATGCAATTATGAATGAGAGTAATCTGAAAATAAAAGTTGTCTAAAAGTAAATTACTAAATGGGGGAAGGAATAACAGAAGATAGTTGTTGATTCAGGAGAGAGCAGGATTCTGTGGTTCCGAAGGAAAAATAACTCAAAAGAAGATACTGCCACATACTCAGTAGGAACTGATGTGTTTTCTTCACTAAAGAAATAATGATGTTCTTGCTGATTCTATAGACTAACAGTGCTACACATATTAGAGGATCTGAGGCAAAACTCTTAGCTCCAAATAGCAGAGTCATAACTGATTCGCTGCCAGAGGCTAATCCCAGACACAGCGTTTTAAGGTATATTTAATATGGGCTCAAATTTCACAGCTATTCCTATGCCAAAACTTTCCAGAGCCTGAGCTCTGCTTGAGCACAAGTTTTATTTGGATATCACATTAACTCATTAAGATTATCATAGCTTTGGCTTACAATAAAATTGCAAACATACTTATTTGTGAAGTGTCCTACAGGGACCTCAGATTTAACTGAAGGAGGCTCCCATTGCAGTGAGGTTTATGCTTATATTTTTCAGTAGATGACCAGGAAAAGGGGGAGAATCTAAGTCTAAATTTGTACCTTCCTTCTGTTAGCTTATGAGTGGAAGAACAGGATGCCTGGAAAGCTACAGAAAAAAATATTTTATATAAAATCTCAAGTTTCCCAATTAGGCATCAAGAAAAGATTGTCATTTATTTACTAAAAGTTAAAGTTAACAAGTAGACACACATATGTAGTAACAAAAATATAATGTTAAGCCTCTATCCCACTTCATTATTTATTCTAAGAGAAAAAATTCTTTGTTTCCTAGATATTTTGCTAGCTAGGTAACCCGTCTATACTAGCACAAGAGTATGTATTTTCATATGTATTCCATGTTAAACACATATACAAATAATAACATATACATACAAACTGTTATAGATCCTGTATTTGACATTTAAATATTTGAGAATTTATTCCATTTCAGTTTTTATGGACTATATAGTTTTTCATTTTTCATTTTATGTATGACCTCAAATAAATACAATCTCAATGTAGAAAATAAGGAAAAACACACATATATGCACATGGACACATATTAACAGAACACAAAAGAGAGTCTAAAAACAGATCCACAAAACTATACCCAACTGATCTATTACAAAGAAGTGACACAGTACAGAACAATAAAAAAGAGAAGACTTTTCAATAAGTATTGCCAGTACAACATCCATATACAAAAGGTAAACACCAATTTATTCACAGATATACCATGCACAAAAATGGACTCAAAATGGACCATAGATCTATATGTAAAATGCAAAACTATAAAAATTTCCAAAAGGGGGCACAAGAAAAACCCTAGTTGTCTTTTTGAATTTCTGGGACTTTTTATTTGTGGCATCAAAGACTGGATCCATAAAAAGAGACTTGATAAGCTGACTTTTAAATTTCTTCTCTGTTAAAGACAATGTCCAGAGGATGGGGTGAGGAGATATACTGGGCAGCATCTCTACAAAAGATAGATTTAATAAAGGACTTCTTCAAATGAATGTTCTTTAAAGCCAACAATAAGTAAATGAATAAAAAGTGACCAAAGATAGATGTATATTAAAAACAAGTATACTCCAAATGCATGCAAACATATGTAAATACTACCTACATTAGATTCTACTAGTGAAATAAAAATTAAACGAGAGTCCTGCATGCCTAGTAGAATTAACAAAGTTCAGTGCCCAGTGCTGGTAGCTCAACCTGTGAGCCTACCTACTCTTGAGACCAAGATTTGAGGATTGGATTTCAAAACCAGACTAAAGGGAATGTCTGTGAGACTTATTTCTACTTAATTACCAAACAAAAACAAAAACAAAAAACTGAAAATGGAGCTGTTGCTCAAGAAGAGCAGTAGCCTTGAGCAAACAAACAACAAAAACACAGGAAAAGCACCCAGACCCAAAGTTTCAGCCCCATACTGGCACAAAAAAAGAGGAATGACCAAAGTTCACAACACTGACAACATTAAATGCTGGCAAGGATATAGAGTAACAGGAGTTTTCATTCATTACTTATTGGCGAAGTGGAAGATAATTTGGCAATTTCTTACAAACCTAAACAGATTCTTAGCATATGATCCAGCAGTTACACAATTTTATATTTAACCCAAAGAAGTTAAAAACGTATGTCCATAAAAATCCTACATTAAGATGTGTAGAATCTTATACATGTGTGTACGTTTACATCATAGTTTCTAAAACTTGGATACCACAAAGGCATCCTTCCTGAAGGTAAATAAACTGGGATACATCCAGGCAATGAGATTTTTTTTTAGCACTATATGTAAGTTACAAAACCATGTAAAGACAGAAAAGCTTTAAATGGCTATTACTCAGTGCAAAAAGCCACCCGGAGAGGACATAGTGTATAATTGCAAGCTTATGGTATTTTGGAAAAGATAATGATAGAGATAGAAGATAGATAGGATGCTGGTTTTGAGGAATTACAAGACTGGAGGGCTATATGGACAAAGCATAGGGATTTTGAGGACAATGAAAATACTATGTGGAATACTACAATGGAAGGCACACGTCATATATAACTATCCAACCCCACAGCATATACTGTTCTAAGAGTGAATCTGAACATAACTAGACTTTTGGTCATTATGCTGTGTAATTTTATCCTTGAAATAAACATACCATTCTGGTGTCAGATGTTGATGTTAGAGGAGTCTATTTACTTGTAGGGGCAGTGGGTTATATTATAGGAACTCTGTGCTCTTTGGCTCAAGTTTGCTATGTATCTAAAAATAAACTCCATGTAAAAGAGGAAATGCAATGGGAGAACATTCTTAATGTAAATGTTAAAATTTTTCAAATAAACAAACCAAAAGTAAGTAAATAAAAGTAAATGAAAAGGTATATTCTTAATTAGGATTGCAAATGCTTAAATATACCAGATTTCCTTAAATTAGTAAAGGTAGTCTCCTAAATGGTCATGAACCTTTAGAATTAGATAGATTTATTTTACACTTGTATTGAAGAATATTCAAATAAAATCACAAAAATCCTTACATTTTGATTCAAATTTTTTCCTAATGCAAGAGTTTTTCATTGAATATATTTTAAATATTCAATTTTTACAAATTCTTATACGTATGTTAGATTTGTTATAAGGTGATAATGTAGCTTGTACTATCTATTTCTTGGTATATTTTGTTTTCATTTTTCTTCTAATATAGATTTTTCTTAATGACTTTCTAAAAACACTGGGAGGAAGCTTAATCTTTGGTTTAAAAAAATCAGTGGAGGTTAGAATGTCACATGAAATTCACCTTATATCTTGGACTATATTTCTCTCTATATATTTTTGTTGTATTGGATTCTTATGAGTGAAGAGATGACCATTGGAGTCTATTTTAATGGGTTTCTGCTTATTTTTATAGCTTCCATTCTTTCCAGACTATTAATGTCCTTGCTACATAATTTTTAATTTTATTTTATTGTAAATAAATTTATTGTGATGTACAGAGGAGTTAGTTACGTAAGTAAGGCAATGAGTACAGAAGGAGGAGGAGGTGGACGAGGGGAAGAAGGGATGAGGGAGGAAGAATAACAACAATGACAAGGAGCAGCTCACTTAAAAACTATCACCTGTAATCCTAGCTACTCAGGAGGCTGAGACCTGAGGATTCCAATTCAAAGCTAACCTGGGCAGAAAAATCCCCATAGAACTCTTATATCCAACTAACTACTCAAAAGTCAGAAGTGGAGCTGTGGCTCAAAGTGGTAGAGTGCAAATCTTGAGCTAAAAAGCTTAGGGATGATGTCCAGGACTTGAGTCAAGCCTAACAACCGACAAAACAAAACAAAAACTAATAACCTATTCTCTAATGACGTTTACTACAAATTGTTAAATATCATTAAGTATTAATATTTCCAGCAAAGTAGTGATAAAAGTTCTAAATTATAGCAGGAATTTCAACTTCCCTAAAACATACTGAAATAGTCATTTATACTAGAAACATAACTGCTTTTTAACATAAAAATTTGAAGCAGTATTTTATGAAATTAGAGATGTGAAAACAACCTCATAAAACCTTTCTTTCAGCTTATGGCTTTTTCTTTACATTTGAGCCAGCATAAATATGTCTTGGGAATTCAGAGAAGCTACTTTGTAGTGTTTTTGTCACCCATTGTATTGAAAGCTGTTACTGCCAAAAAAATGTAAAAGTTATTCTTACCATTGTCTTGGCATATAAACTATTTTTATTACCCAAGAATGTATTTACGCCCTCCCCACCACCC